ATCTGCAATCCATTGTCCACACGTGCAAATGTTATTAGCCAAATCCACCATATAATTGTACGTAGCACCTGGATCAGAACGAGAAGTATGGCTAACTATATACTGATATTTACCATAATTTGTAGCTACCCACTTGTGCTTTGTCTTCTCGCGGTGTCGAAGAATTGTTGTAATTTTAGGAGTTGTGCGGATGTTCTTCTGCATCCACTGAACAGGAATCTTGTGCCGTTTTTCAAATGATTCAACCATTTTAGTGTAGGACATCTTCAGTATCGCCGTAACTGGTATCATCCGACAACCTTTGAGCATATTATTAAAACTTTCCGAACTATTGGTTGTAAGAATTCCACATCTATTTCCACCATCATAGCAGAGAGTCCATGCCTCGCGCGGAATATCGTTCAAGTACTTAGATGCAGCTTCATTTGCGTGCCTGATTTCTGCCATGTACTCATTAAACTGTTCGATGTTGGGTGTGCTCCCGGCGGCCCAAACTTTACGTTTAAGGTCACTGTCATGAAATTTATTCATGAAATTGATGCGGACATGCCTTAGACAATAACGCTTGGTTATGAATCCAGTTTGTAGCTCAGGGAGATCACGATATGCATTGATAATGCCTGCATGCCTATCGGAGATTACACAAACCTGATGCGAACGAATAACTCTTTGAACAAGAAGACGAAAAAATCATGCCCAACTCTCAGATGTTTCCCCGTCAACTACAGCATATGCAAGCGGGAAAAGTTCTCGGTTTCCATTGAGCGCCACCTCCAAAAGTAGGTGACCCTTGTACTTTCCGTACAAATGGGTCCCGTCCACCGTCACCACAGGTAAGCAATATTGTAAACCATTAATGGCTGCTGGAAATGCCCAAAATGCATACTTAAAATGCGGTCTTTCGTCCGGGGTAACATTGAGGTTGGGTGTTAACATCTGCGTGATAGCGTGACATATCTTAGAGTGTACTCTGGATAAGTTGTAAGTACGCATTGTTGACAGCACGAGAACATCCACTCGACAAGGTAGCATGCAACTTTTTGAACCCATTAACCTACAAAAAAAATTTATTAAGTAAATATATTAATGAGTAGTGTTTATTTAAAAGAATAAATATTAGCTAGCAAACCGCAATAGCTAGAGCAGCTGCGGAGCTCTCAACGCCTTCATTGTGATGGTGGGCAGGATTTCGTTTTAGACGTCGTCCGCGTGCTGCAAACCAATCTCGATAACCCATTCCGAGATTTTCACCAACATTGTTTTGTTCAGTAACTTCTGTCATGTGATCAATGGAAACAAATAAAAATCGATTCTCATTCCACAACCGTGCACATTCCGTGACAATTCAATGTTGATGCTTATGTTGGAACACACTTTGCACGTTTAACTAAAGTCGTGTTCATTTCTGACAGGTTTTGATAATTGCCAAACCGCCGTGGATATAAAGAGTTTCGTTGAATAACTCAAGGCGCGAAGAATGGCATGGAACAAGACCCGAAAGACTCAAGGACAAGATCAAGAATTGAAGACTTAGTCGAGTCGGTCTTTTGATCAAAACCGACAATCAATTCAAGTCTCGGTTCTCAAAGAGTCAAAATAATTTTACAAAATCATAAAATATTTTTGTGCATCAAAATAAACATTTTTGATAAATTTTTTATTGTTAAAATCCCTGGTCCTTNCTTTGCACGTTTAACTAAAGTCGTGTTCATTTCTGACAGGTTTTGATAATTGCCAAACCGCCGTGGATATAAAGAGTTTCGTTGAATAACTCAAGGCGCGAAGAATGGCATGGAACAAGACCCGAAAGACTCAAGGACAAGATCAAGAATTGAAGACTTAGTCGAGTCGGTCTTTTGATCAAAACCGACAATCAATTCAAGTCTCGGTTCTCAAAGAGTCAAAATAATTTTACAAAATCATAAAATATTTTTGTGCATCAAAATAAACATTTTTGATAAATTTTTTATTGTTAAAATCCCTGGTCCTTGCTCAGAACCAATATCACCTAAGTCGGCGTACGGTGTTCGGCGTTCGATTTTTGGCGCCCGAACCAACTCGGTGGTTTTCAATGTTTTAAACCTCGTTTTTATATCTAAGCATATTTAAAAGGTTCCCAAATAATTATTCCATAAAAACCACTTTTGTATCTTGGTCAATCGGTCTAACACGTGAAAAACGGTCAAAACCGCACCCACGTGATGTACGACCTTGGAGACTTGGTTTTTACCGAACAAGTCTTGTTTTTACTATTTTATACCATATACAATGTTTTTCAAACTTGGTTTTTACTTTTGGGAACACTTCGTTTTTGGACCTCGGTTTTTCAAAACGGGTTTTAGCTGGCTAGACTTTAGCTGGGTGATAATCGATTATCACCTTAGTGACAATCGACTATCAGCCCCTACAGCTTTGAACTTCCAAAGTTCTGAAGCACTTAATAATCGATTATCACTTATGCAATAATCGATTATCAGTTTTTGCAGTCAAAACCCAGAATCTTCTGAGAGGACCAATAATCGATTATCACTTGTTGACAATCGATTATCTGGGTTACCGTTGTCCTCCAACGGATAGTTTTTTAAACTTTTGGACAGGGAATCTTTTAATAATCGATTATCATGTCTAGACAATCGATTATCACCCTGCAACTCTGAAAAATTTGTCTTCATCCTGTTGGAAAATTTAGCAACGGTTTTATCCCATTTTGGGCTATAAAATGGCACTCAAATCCTCTCATTTTATACACAATTCTTCAACATTTCAATACTCTTTCATTGCATAATCATTCCTATTTTTCTTAGCTATTTGAGAGCCTATTCTTGAAGAAATTGTCGTGTTCTTGAGCGTTTACTAGTTTACTCATATCTACTCTTTGTGAGAGTTTTATTCCTGAGTGTTTAAGTGTTTTTATACACTTTAAGGGAGGTTGCTCCCTTGTTGTAAACTCGAAGGAAGTTCTTTGTTCCTTCGTGAGAAGTCCTGGAGTGCGGTATCTCCAAGCAAAGGTGTTGAGGCTCGTGTGATTCGGGTTCTCAAGTTGTATCGGTTTGTTAAGCACCCTTAAGCTTAACGGAGTTAGTGTAGCTCGAGAGAGTCTCTCGGGAGGCTGGATTAGCCACACGTTGTGGTGAACCAGGATAAAATTCGGTGTGCTCCTTCCTTACGCTCTTTACCTTTACGCTCTCGTTTTTAATTTCTTGCGATTTTGTTTTAAACGCTATTCACCCCCCCTCTAGCGTTGGGCCTTTATTCTAACAGCTTAGTGTCCCACTGCTCTTGTGGTGACTAGGCACATATGCGTATGGAAGATCCGGCACCTCTTGTAGTCTACCAAATTGTCTTGCAAAACGCAATGTCATCACCGGCTCCATATAACTTTCGGAACAAAAGGTAGCCCTGGAATGACCACAACGCAATACTTCTACTACAATACTCTGGCAAGACTTGTACATTATACGGTTGCCAAAGGATCTATAAAAATCTAATGTCAGATAGTAGAATATCATTTCTAAGAATGAACATAATAAACAAAAAAACAAAAAAAATATAATTTCAAAAAAAGGAGATATACGTGACACTCCAAAAGCCCATCAAATTGGTCTCTAAAATACCGCACATTTTGTCGTGCGGTACGAGAGTATTCCTTAGACATCCTCCACCTAAAAAGAAACATTTCACAATTTCATATTAATAAATTTTAATAAAAAGTTTTGAAGTATTAAAAGATAAAAAGAAATAAAAAGACCTGGCACCATGTGGGTCACTCCCGGGTACATAATCATCATGCCGGTGTCGGGGAAGAAAGTGCACATCCGGATAAATAGTTGTGATTCGTGCCCAAGCCCAAAGGTCGAGAAGTAGCATACATCCACATGGACGGGCATTATTCACTCGAAGGGATGCCCGACATAAACCACTAAATAATCTTGCAAGAACAGCTGAACCCCAACTAAAATTCGCAATCGTGTAAAAATCTCCCAGGTATGATACAAAATCTGTAGGTGCAAAGCGGCCAGATGAGTCTGGAAACAAAAGACCCGCCAAATACCCACAGATGACCCGAGCTGTGTATTGCTCCACCTCCCGATTTGTCCATCCAGCATTTAGTTGAACTTTATGTTCAGGATTTCGTTGAAATAATTCTTTGATCTTAAATTGGTCAGGACGGCCCAGATGTTCACACTACAAAAAATATGACTTTTTGTGGCTAAGTTTTATATAGTGGCAAAATTATTATTTACCACAATATATAAAGATGGAACAAATATTTGTAGCAAATAAGATTTTGCCACAAAATATTTGACATATTGTGGCAATTGTGTAAAATTGCTACTATATCAAAACAATTGGACTCAAAGTTTTACCCCATTTGAGGCCCATAATCCAAATACAGTGTAAATGCACGATAGGAGGAAAATCATTCACAATTCACTACGGAGTATATCTATGCAATCGTGACTTACCCTTTTCTCTGAAAGAAAACCCCCTAAATAGGAGTAAAACATATGTCAAATCTTCAAAATAAGATCTCAAACTTAAAATCCTCTAAATAGGAGTAAAAATTATTAAAATATAAAATCAACCCACAACCCCAAGTTCTTCCTAGCCGGATCCTATTCCAAAGACCAAAAGTCAATCTTTTCTGCCGTCCACCATCTTCGATCCTTTCCGATCTTCATCTTCGCCACCTAATAGTAGTGTCATAGCCGCTGCCACTTCTCATTCATAGTGCCATCGCCACCACCATGCACCCCCACCCCCTAAGATTCGTCGCCCGGCCCGCACCTTCTCAGATTTGCTACCTCACCCCACCCCAATTTCACACTATTCAATCTTTCAGAAGTGTTTGGATTCCCTATTGATATTTAATTGAGTTTTTATTTACCTTGAGTTTTGTTTGGATGCTTTCGGATGGCGATTCGATGTCGAAAAATGACGGCCAACAGTTGTCAATGACGGTTGCTCATCCGGCTGCCATAACGGTAGCCGTGAGATGGTGGATGATCACTGGTTATATTATTGGATTTATTGCAGATCAGTGGTTGAGTTTGACATTTTGAATTTGCAACAGTGACATTATATATGATAATTTGTAGCATCGTGCATTACCATATGTGACATTATATGATAATCGGTGGCATTATGCATTACCATATGTGACATTATATGTGGCCATGTTTGGGATTATACCTTCGTTGTTAATGTGGCACTGCGACGGAGACTATGTAGAGTGTGATGGTGGTGTTGGAAATGTTACAGAGTGTATCGGTGAATATTTGGAGCTAATGCAGTAGTTATTTGACTTTTCGCTCATCAAAGGTCTGATCTCCAGACCTGATTTCAGGTTCGTCTTCGATGCGATGCATGCGGTTACTGGTGCTTATGCAAAGCCTGATTTTGTTGACATGCTCGGAGCTAGCTTTGAATGTATAGTTAATGGTGTGCCCCTTGAGGATTTTAGGCATGGCCATCCAGACCCTAATCTTACATAGGCAAAGGTCGAAGGATTTGGTCAACATAATGTACAGCGAGGATGGCCCAGCCCCCCCTAGTGTGTAAATATACACGCATGCAAGAAAAAGAAATAAACAAAGGATAGGAGAAGAGAGTGTGAGAAGAGAGAATTGAGGATAAAAATTAATTAATTAATTACTCCTATTTAGAAGAGTTTAAGTTTTAGCACCTATTTGAGAATATAATCTAACTTTTACTCCTAGTTTGGTCCTTCTCCCTTTCTCTGAACCAGATAGTTACCCAGGGACATGTTACCCTTTTCATAGATATACTCCGTAGTGAATTGTGAATGATTTTCCTCCTATTGTGCATTTACTCCGTATTTGGATTATGGGCCTCAAATGGGGTAAAACTTTGAGTCCAATTGTTTTGATATAGTAGCAATATTACACAATTGCCACAATATGTCAAATATTTTGTGGCAAAATCTTATTTGCTACAAATATTTGTTCCATCTTTATATATTGTGGCAAAAAGTCATATTTTTTGTAGTGTGAACATCTGGGCCGTCTTGACCAATTTAAGATCAAAGAATTATTTCCACGAAATCTTGAACAGCAAGTTCAACCAAATGCTGGATGGACAAATCGGGAGGTGGAGCAATACACAGCTCGGGTCATCTGTGGGTATTTGGCGGGTCTTTTGTTTCCAGACTCATTTGGCCGCTTTGAGCCTACAGATTTTGTATCATATCTGGGAGATTTTTACACGATTGCGAATTTTAGTTGGGGTTCAGCTGTTCTTGCAAGATTATTTAGTGGTTTATGTCGGGCATCCCTTCGAGTGAATAATGCCCGTCCATGTGGATGTATGCTACTTCTCCAACTTTGTGCTTGGGCACGAATCACAACTATTTGTTCGGATGTGCACTCTCTTCCCCGACACCGGCATGATGATTATGTACCCGGGAGTGACCCACATGGTGCCAGGTCTTTTTATTTCTTCTATCTTTTAATGCTTCAAAACTTTTTATTAAAATTTATTAATATGAAATTGTGAAATGTTTCTTTTTAGGTGGAGGATGTCTAAGGAATACTCTCGTACCGCACAACAAAATGTGCGGTATTTTAGAGACCAATTTGATGGGCTTTTGGAGCGTCACGTATGTCTCCTTTTTTTGAAATTATATTTTTTTGTTTTTTGTTTATTATGTTCATTCTTAGAAATGATATTCTACTATCTAACATTAGATTTTTATAGATCCTTTGGCAACTGTATAATGTACAAGTCTTGCCAAAGTATTGTAGTAGAGGTATTGCGTTGTGGTCATTCCAGGGCTACCTTTTGTACCGAAGTTATATGGAGCCGGTGATGCCATTGCGTTTTGCAAGACAATTTGGTAGACTACAAGAGGTGCCGGATCTTCCATACGCATATGTGCCTAGTCACCACAAGAGCAGTGGGACACTAAGCATCAACATTGTCACGGAATGTGCACGGTTGTGGAATGAGAATCGATTTTTATTTGTTGCCATTGATCCCATGACAGAAGTTACTGAACAAAACAATGTTGGTGAAAATCTCGGAATGGGTTATCGAGATTGGTTTGCAGCACGCGGACGATGTCTAATACGAAATCCTGCCCACCATCAAAATGAAGGCGCTAAGAGCTCCGCAGCTGCTCTAGCTATTGCGGTTTGCTAGCTAATATTTATTATTTTAAATAAACACTACTCATTAATATATTTACTTAATTTTTAATTTTTTTTGTAGGTTAATGGGTTCAAAAGGTTGCATGCTACCTTGTCGAGTTGATGTTCTCGTGCTGTCAACAATGCGTGCTTACAACTTATCCAGAGTACACTCTAAGATATGTCACGCTATCACGCAGATGTTAACACCCAACTTCAATGTTACCCCAGACGAAAGACCGCATTTTAAGTATGCATTTTGGGCATTTCCAGCAGCCATTAATGGTTTACAATATTGCTTACCTGTGGTGACGGTGGACGGGACCCATTTGTACGGAAAGTACAAGGGTCACCTACTTTTGGCGGTGGCGCTCAATGGAAACCGAGAACTTTTCCGGCTTGCATATGCTGTAGTTGAGGGGGAAACATCTGAGAGTTGGTCATGGTTTTTTCGTCTTCTTGTTCAAAGAGTTATTCGTTCGCATCGGGTTTGTGTAATCTCTGATAGGCATGCAGGCATTATCAATGCATATCGTGATCTCCCTGAGGTACAAACTGTGTTCATAACCAAGCGTTATTGTCTAAGGCATGTCCTTAGCAATTTCATGAATAAATTTCATGACAGTGACCTTAAACGTAAAGTTTAGGCCGCTGGGAGCACACCCAACATCGAACAGTTTAATGAGTACATGGCAGAAATCTGGCACGCAAATGAAGCTGCATATAAGTACTTGAACGATATTCCGTGCGAGGCATGGGCTCTCTGCTATGATGGTGGAAATAGATGTGGAATTCTTACAACCAATAGTTCGGAAAGTTTTAATAATATGCTCAAAGGTTGTCGGATGATACCAGTTACGGCGATACTGAAGATGTCCTACACTAAAATGGTTGAATCATTTGAAAAACGGCACAAGATTCCTGTTCAGTGGATGCAGAAGAACATCCGCACAACTCCTAAAATTACAACAATTCTTCGACACCGCGAGAAGACAAAGCACAAGTGGGTAGCTACAAATTATGGTAAATATCAGTATATAGTTAGCCATACTTCTCGTTCTGATCCAGGTGCTACGTACAATTATATGGTGGATTTGGCTAATAACATTTGCACGTGTGGACAATGGATTGCAGATGCAATCCCTTGTGTGCATGTTCATGGCGTGTATCATTCTTTTCAACAACTTGCAGATGATCTTGTTCCAGACAAATACTCTGTTCAGAGATATTTAAGTTGTTACAGTGGTTGGATTGAACCGTTCATTTTTCCAGAAAATTTGAATGTTGGTGATTGGAAAGTCTTGCCACTGATACGCCCCTTAGAAGAGACTCCACGTCGAGGACGTCGTCAGCAAAATCGTTATCCGGGAGAGATGGATCGTAGGGCAAATTAATAATTATGCTTTAAGTATTTTTTAAGTGTACTTTTTTATTATGTGTTTAAATAATTGTACTTTTTTCTATGTGTTTTTTATGTTGTGTACTTTCTTAAAACTGGTTCGTTATAATTAATATTTAATCATATTTGCTTCTTAAATTTATTATTGATGTTGATACTCAAAAATTTCAATAATACATATTAAATGATATGTAAAAAAAATTATATATATATATATAAATACATAATATTATTTAGAGTAAATTATATAAAAGGTCCCCAGTTATAGGTCATTTTACATATTTAGTCCCTACATATCAAATATTACTAATTTAGTCCCCAATTATTATATTTATTTCCACGAATGGTCCTTTATAACATTTCCGTTAAGAACGTGGATAAAATTTTATATTCATACTTCTCTCTCTCCTCAATTAAGCTTTCTTCATCTTCTCATACTCTTTCCCAAACTCGTCGCCGAGTTTGAAGCTCTTAAACCCAAAATTTAAATGATCGCTCCTCCAGTTAGACAAACAATTGAGAGAAGAGTGATGATTTTGGTTTAGGGTTCAAAGCTAGAAACTCAGCGACAGGTTTGAGAAAGGAGTACAAGGGAGGAGAAAGCTTAATTGAGGAGAGAAAGGAGTGTGAATTTATAATTTTATCCACGTTTTAATGAAAATGTTAACAAAGGACCATTCGTAGAAATAAATATAATAATTGGGGACCAAATTAGTAATATTTGATATGTAGGGACTAAATATGTAAAACGACCTATACTTGGGGACCTTTTATGGAATTTACTCTATTATTTATATATATTCTTTAAGGAACCATATATGCATTTGGGGGAGAAATTATTTAATAAAAAAACTGACATTTGTTTTGCATGTAGTACATGCGAAATGATTTTAAAAAAAAACTGGGAAAAGCTTGCGTGATACCAACTGGAAAAAGCAACTTTGATGTTGATGTTTTAGCATGTAGGACATGCGAAAATTCTGAAACAATAAAAAATCGCATGTATAACATGCAAAAGTTTGACTGGGGAATTTCCTCCCTAAAAAGTTCCCACTGAGGGAATTGTTCCGAAATTAGAATTGTACGGATGTTTTATGCACTTGGGCTAGATACTTTGAAGACGGTTCGAAGTCTAATTCTCCAATGTTGTGCTTGTGCCGGTCCAACCGACAACCTTTATTTAAAAATAAAGCAACAAGCCAACAACCTAGTCAAAATAGACCCACAGGTCGTACACCAGTCCAAAATTTCAGCTTCTTTTTTGTCAAACAAAAGACTTCGTGTTGTAAAGTAAAAACATAATTCGTAATGTTCGTAATATCTTTATAATTCAAGAACATACAGAGGGAAATTTATGTACACAAACCATTTCTTTCATGTTTTAGTTATTACACAATGAAATGAGATTATGAGATAATTAAAACATCTCATATTCCAACATTATTACCAAGAAACTCAAAAAGAAAAAGAACATCAACCCCATAAACTTGGAACCTGTACGTGGGATGCCTGATCAAACTGTTCTGAACAAAAACTGGCGAACGAAAAATGCAGATGAGACTTGAGGCCATATGAACTGAGGTCCAATATCAGAGTGGGAGTCGAATGGCTACCAATATAAGCCACCCGTTAATGTTAGGCACAATATAACCTACCTACCTATATCCTTCTAAGTTTAGCTGTTTAGGTAAACTAATTACCAACCCAAGAAATACAAATTCGTTAATGGGGAGACCCAATAGACACTCTACATCCTGTAAATTGATACCCATCTCTCCAAAAGGGAAATGAAAAGCATGCACCTCCGGTCTCCATCGCTCAATGAGAGCGGTGATTAAACCATGATCAAATCTAATCGGGTGCACACGGTGTACCCCATAAAATCCTGCTCTCCGTAAATTTTGGAGAACCCTGGGGTCATGAAAAACAGTAGGGATGCGACTATGATATCTAACTGAAACTAGTTTATTGTCGCAAAACTCCTTATGTTTCCACACCCGACTAGAACGATGAGTATTCTACAAATGTAACATGTCATCTATTCTAGGGCCCGCTATCTCTCTATCCATCTCTCTTTCTCTTTCCATGTCATCCATTTTTGCACTACAAAAATTAAATAATAAACTTTATTTTTTTATTCTTAATATTAGTGCATACAAAACATATATATTTTGAAAAAAATATATATTCATGTAAACACTATCTACAAAAATATATAAAACCTAATTTTGAAAAAAATATTTAAAAGTTAAGTGAAATATAAGTAATAAAAAATACTTGAGAAATGTTGAATGTTATGTAGTAGTGTGAGAATAGGTTAAATTTGAAGAGTGTGTGAAGTGGTGGGTGAAGGGGTGGTTTGAATAAAAATATATGAGAAATAATTAAGAAGATAAAATATCTTCATAATTTCGAAAAAAATATATTCATGTAAACACTATCTTAAAAAATATATTCATTAAAACACATAATTTCGAAAAAAATATTTTCCTACATTTTTATAAAAAATTTAAAATATTATACAGCACATAGTTGAGAATATATAAACATAATCTATAATCAAATAAAAATGAAAACTAATAAAAACATAACATCTATAATCAATATTATTAATATTTAAAAGCTAAGTGAAATATAAGTAATAAAAAAATACCTGAAAAATGTTGAATGTAATGTAGTGTGAGAATAAGTTAAATTTGAAGAGTGAGTAAAGTGGTGGGTGAAGGGGTGGTTTAAATAAAAAAAAATGTGAGTGATAATTAAGAAGATGAAGGGGTGGATGAAGTTGGATGGTTGGGATGGAGGTGGTTGTAATGTGTTGTGGAGTGGAAAAGGTGGAAAGTGGAAAAGTAGTGGAAAAGGTGGGTGTAATGTGTGGTGGAGTGAAAGAGGTGGAAATGGAAAAGTTAATTATTTCCGCATGTAGCACATGCAAACCGGAAAAAAAACCTAATCGCATGTAGTACACGCGGTTTCACTACGAAAAGTACTGACAAATCGTCAGTTCTGATTTTTTTTTAATTTTTTTTGGTTTCGCAGGTACTATGTGCGATTGTCTTTCTGAGGAATTAAATGTTCCACTTCAGGAAATACTTTTTCCTTTTTGTCCGTCTGAGGGAAACCACCCTCTAATTTCACCATCCCCGCCTCCCAATGACTATCTCTTTCTTCATTTCTCTCTCTCTTATTTTATGTGATTTTTATTACAACCATGTTACACTTATATCAAAAAATATACTCTAAAGTTACATCAAAGGTATACACTAACATTTTGATGGTTCACACTATCACAAAATACTTGTATATTAACAAAAATTTACACTAACATTTTGTGTTTGTGTGAACTATCACCCTAGCATTACACTAACACAAAATGAAAGTACACACCTGCGATGTACAAATTGGGATACAAATCACGGGGTACAAATAGCTTAATCCTTTTTATTAATGTTTTCCATAATCTCTCCATTCCCATTGGAGATAGTTTAAGGGTAGACCTTGCCCCGTAGTGAGTGATTAAAATCGACGTTTGGGAGCCAAACATGTCCCATGTTTTCATTTTTTTAATTTAAAAAAGAAAATATTTTGGCAATTGATGTCCTCCACAAGATGAAGACAAAACTCATAAGATCAAACATTTACACCCTTTCATTTTTCAAATAAGTTTAAGCAAATGTGAAATTGTGTTGTGTTTCATGCGTAGGAAAAATATATATTCAATATAAACCATACATTTTTTATTCGAGTGGAATGTGACTTTAGTTTTAAACAACGTACCAAAGAAACAAAAATTTAAATCAAGAAGCTACGTGTTACTCATCGATAGAGGTGGACTACTAAGCGTCATACGTGGTCCCTGAACCTCACACACATCCATGCAAGTGTTAATATACTCGCATATTAGATATAGAATAAGTATATATAGTACTCTCTTCGTCTCAAAATGAAGCTCATACTTTGACTTATGGTGTGAATTTCTTTTCAATTTAACATATTTGAAAATTGCTATAGAGTTAAAAAATAAAATATATATTAAAAAATAAGAATAATTCTAACAATCTACGTGTTTTTGCCGTCTTCATCAGTAACAAGACGCGGGGAAAATGAAGTTCGTTGAAACTCTCAGATTGAGTTGCTTTCACCCTGGGGAAGAAGATGAGTAATAAGATGGACTACTTCATTGGCTACAATTACGGTTCTTGTTAGAGATAGAAGAAGGAAGCAGGATTGAATAAGGAAAGTGTTAGAGACAGAAGAAGGAATGGGGATTGAAGAAGGAAATTTAAACCGAATCCCTTTGGGATTAGGTTTAGTATCTTTCCTAGTCGGATTAAGTTTAGTATTTAGTATCTTTCCTAGTTTGTTTAATTCTTATTTTAGTAGAAATAGAAATTTCCTTGTTTACTTTACCCTCTTCCTATATAAAGAGGGTTAGATCTTTGGATTCAAAACAATTTTTACAAGCCAATTCAATATATAGACAATTTCTTCCCAAATAATTTTTTCATGGTATCGGAGCCAAATTTGATTTCTTGAGACCTCAAACACGCTTCTTCCCCTGCCGGTGGGCATACATAGTTCAATGCCTACCGGCGGAATATTGTGATTTTTTAATTTTTTTTATTATCCTCCCTCATTCTTGAAGAAGTGGTCGAACAAGGGTTGTTCTACGGAGACAAACAACTCTTTCCGCGTCTACTGTTCACGATCGACCGGCATTGCGTCCATCAATCGTCACCTATTGTTGCTGCCGAAGTGCCGGAACGGTCGACCGTTGCTGAAAAATGGTCGAGTGGGTCGACCGTCCCGACGGCAGTTTCTCTTGATCGCGGTTACTGTTCACGATCGCCCGGCATCGCGTCCATCGATCGTTGCTCAGTTTCTGCAGGTTTGGAGCAGTTCCCAATTTGTATTTGTAGGAATTGCACGCGGGACCTGCCGGAGAAGCTTGCGCAGATGCGCGAATCGAGGGAACGTTTCTTGCAGGTTTGGAGCAGTACCCAATTTGTACGTGTAGGAATTGCATGGTGGACCTGCCGGAGAAGCTTGCGCAGATGCGCGAACTGAGGGAACGTTTCTTGCCGGTTTGGAGCAGTACCCAATTTGTACGTGTAGGAATTGCACGTGGGACCTGCCGGAGAAGCTTGCGCAGATGCGTGAACCAAAGGAATGTTTTTTTTATGTCCAAGCTGTGCATGTTGAACTCCCATGCTTCACCTTGAGGGAGGTGTTAGAGATAGAAGAAGGAAGCGGGATTGAAGAAGGAAAGTGTTAGAGACAGAAGAAGGAAGCGGGATTGAAGAAGGAAACCGAATCCCTTTGGGAATAGGTTTAGTATCTTTCCTAGTTGGATTAAGTTTAGTATTTAGTATCTTTCCTAGTTTGTTTAATTCTTATTTTAGCAGGAATAGAAATTTTCTTGTTTACTTTACCATCTTCCTATATAACGAGGGTTAGATCGATCTTTGGATTCAAAACAAGTTTCACAAGCCAATTCAATATATACAAAGAATTTCCTCCCAAATAATTCTTTCAGTTCCTATTAAGTTATTTTAAAAAGTTCAAATTACATCTAATTTAATTCTATTGCTTTAGATGTGTTGGCAAGTTATTATTTTAATTATCATATAAGTCAAAATAATTCAACGTACACTTATAGAACCATTAAACTTAAGTTTAATATAATGTTCTTCAATTCTAATAAAACACTCAACAAGCCCCTGCAAACCCCGACCCTCCTCCATCCCCACCGCTATCTACATTTCCACGTGGTAAAACTCCTCCATAGAGTTGGGTCATCTCTTCTCTAATCGACAATAGTTCACGCGCTTGGGAAGCTCTAATTTCATCTAGCTCTTCTCTCAATACTGATATCATCATCTCTTCTCTAAGTTCACGCGGTATTAACAACGTAAATATTTCCATCGCCAATTTCTGCCATCCTTTGGGCGTTTTCTTGTTGTGGTAATTAAACACAGAGTGGACTTAAGGAAGACGAAGGCGAGATTTTTGGAATGGATGTGATGGTTTTGAATTGAAGAACATAATAAATTATGTTTGTGATTATGATTTGTTAAGCTTCTGCAATATTACAGTTATGTATATTATTCTGTTGATGAATAAAAGTATTTGAAATGTTTTAAATTTTTATGATTACCAAGTTAATACCTTAGTCTGAAAGGGGTTGCAGACCTGGACGGGTTAGGGTGTTACAAAACGAGACGAGACTGTGATACAAAATTTAAAAAACTGACTATTCTAGACCGAATTGTTCAAAGTTATCTACGAAGTATGTCAGATAATTATTTTCTATATCATCTTACCATATACACATATGAAGTATTTCATATTGTATTGTGTTTTAAAATATTCTTTCATTATTATTGATGGGTTATAGAACCCAGGACCTAGGAGACTAGGTAGGAGAGAATCAAACAAGGGCTAAGTGCCTTTTGGTCGCAAGAGTAGAGTAAGTGTATTTGCTTGGTAGTGAATGTGAACGTGTCTTCTCTCCTCCAGAAGGAGGGGTATTTATACAATATATTTGTCCTATACTTGTGTTTCCTAATCGTTGTCTAGGTTACGACCTAGTGGGTTGGGCCCTTTAGAATTGTATCTTTTGACTGATTATATAAGAAATGTAATTACAAATAGTACGGCTACAAATAAGGTACAAACGAATAGTATCAAAGATGCCCTAGCGTGGGCCCGTTGAGTAGACAAGGCGTAGAGGCTCTCATGCCCATGACAGGCCCGCATTACTTTATTGGCGGCATAGGCCAAGTACACGACTCTATCGTTGAAAGACAGCCGAGTAAAGATCTGGTCGGGTCCGCCCCAGGGTCTGAGTGCATGGATCTGGGCTGAGTAGGGATGCGTGTCTAAGTACGATTGCCACTTTGAGAACGTGATTTCCTTTAAGTCTTGCTCAGCAAAATAGGGCGTCTTTGGCCGAGCATGTCCGATTCGTACAATTAGATGGGCCTTTTGTTGGGCCGCTTATTATTTTGTTGGGCTGGATACCCCCCAAGTCCAGGGTATCTATAATGAGTCCCCAACTTCTTAGGCTATATAGAAGTACAAAGACTTGGAAGTGGAAGTTTGAAAAAATTCTTCGTCGAGTATGAGCAGTCCCCCACTCCTTAGCCTGAGTGTGTGCGAATGTCTGAGGAGTTAATTGACACGCGGAAAAATTTTTCAGGCGTGTTGATTTGAATTTCAAATCGTCATGATTGTTCTTGGGATGTGTACCATCCTTTCCCTCCAAATGTCCAGCCGTTTCTTGATAATCGTTTATGGCGGTTCGTGTGTAAGTAGTGGCATGTGGATTTCGTCACGTCACCCCATTTTATGCAATCCGGATTTCAATGACCTCATCTACTTAAGGATCCCCGTCTGGTGCGTCTAATCGCGATCTGGCAGCGGATAGTTTTGCGGAGATGTATATGGTTGACCCACTCCTTCACCCCAATGGGTTAGGGGCTCTGGCTAGTAGACTTCCAATCATGAGCGTGGTGCCCCTCAGTACTGGGGTCACTATTGCTTCATCTTCTATAGTCGCTCCACATAAACCTTCCCATCGTTCCAGGCCTAAAACTTAGCTCATTCGTAACCCTAAGTCCTTGCTGTTACTATGCTGGAGAGCATCCCTATTACTAACACGGGCTATAATCGCCAAGATATTAACTTTGATGAAGCCCTTAGGCTAGTGGAGGAGGGTTACGTCATTCACCATCCTCATCCCACGAATCACGTCTTCTCTATGACTTGTCTCGACACCGAGGTCGGAGTTCGTGTTACGTCGATGAGGTATGGTCTCAGGTTTCCACTACACCATTTGATCGTGCAGTACTTGAATTTTTATTCTCTTCTCCCGGTTCAACTCACTCCCAACTCCTACTACTGCTTTTCTTCCTTTTTGATCAAGGGTAAGACCGTACATGTTCCTTGGTCTTTAAATTTTTTAGATATTTGTTTAAAATCACTCAGTTTGGGCACTTCGAGTCGAAGTCCTATGCCAGTGTATCAGCCTAGAATGAGTGTGATCTTGTGACGTTCCCGACGTCTCTCAAACGTTGGAAGTTGAAGTTTGTTTTTATCTCTGGTTTCCTCGAGGATTGTCAACCTTTTCTGGCGAGGTTTCCCAGGTGTTGTTCGTCTGCCCATAATCCCCACCCTCGGGCCACTCCTGAGCTCATCAAGTAGGCCGAGAGGTTACTGGAGGATTCTCGCCCCAACTCACCCCATGTGTATGAGCTCTGCTCAGAAGTGAATATGGACAAAGCTAGGCTCCTTGTCTCGCTTGACCACCAATATTAGCTGGCCAAGGCGGCTAGAGGGGGAAGACCGAGGTGAGGTCTTGAAAATATAAATGCCAGTCGGTTGGATGGCGGAGGGGCCAATTCGGAGGAGTTTGAGGACGATTAGCAGATTGAGGATGAGCAAGTGCATCCTTCTGATCCTGAGGAGGAAAGTGATGCTTAGTTGTCCTTCAAAGACGGAAGTGATGAAGGTTTGTCTTGTTCCTGTTGGGAAAGCAAGAACACAAATGAATGTGTAGTGCCCAAGATCAACACCTTTCCCTCTTGAATGAATCTGTGAGGAGCAACAAACAAACACACCAAAGAACACCAAGCAACAAGATAATCCAAGCACAAAAATAAAGCGATATGAGGCACGAGATTTTAACGTGGAAAACCCTTTCAATGTGAAAGAGTAAAAAACCACGAGACCCTTCGGTCCAACCAACTTCACTATCACCAAATTGAGAGTACAAATGCACAATATAACAACACCACAATGATATCTAGCCCTTAACAACACTACGAAGGCACTAGAATCGAAATAGAGGAACAAAAGTGCAAGAAATCACCAAAAAAACAGCAGCTGGTGCGAAGCTCATAACTTGAGATTGAACCGTTGAAATTCGATCTCCACCGTTCAGATTGAAGCTCCACAAGTCCTTAGACTCCTCCTAAAATTTCAGCTCGATCGGACAAGCTTTGGACCTTCGATCGACCAAAAAACCAGGTCTGCATTTTTCTGAAAATGGCAGCGGCTATCTCACTTCTTGCGGCTGTTTTTCTCTCTTTTTGTGCGTGAATATCCGTGTTGTGGTAGTAGACAGCTGCCAAACTTTTACTCTCAAAAATATGTGGACAAAAATGCATTGAAGACTTAT